ATTAATGAAAGGTGTCCACTTGCAAACAAGACTGCAACATTCTTGAGCAAAATGTTCCTGTACTGGTCACCTATTCCATAACAGAACGTTAGTTTGCTCTCTCTAAAATACCCTCCTTCACTGCTAATACACCTCTGGTTTCATGGATGGTTTTCATGGGATGCGAGGTTAACTTCTATCACCTAACTTCTACTTCTCTGACAGTTATGATTATTGTCTGTTAGGTGTGTGCCTACATAGGATGCAATCACACACTGCTAGAAAGATGACCCACTCTAGGTCTGACTACCATCCAAGGTTGACAGAACCCAACTGATCCTGTTTTCTGAAATGAGAACTTTTTATTATTCAGATTGTAGCTAGCTTGAAAAGGACACCAGTGAATAAGCGATCTTTAAAGAAAGACCGTAGGTATCATTATATTGTATTTCAGCAGAAATCAAACGATTGATGTGTGCAACAAGCACAAGCCTTACTCGTACAAACATGGAAAACATTTAACTGAATATGAATGAAACCTCATAATAAATACATGGTTTAGCAGTTTGTAATGAATACTATCATGGCAGAGAGGGGCAGTTTAGCCTCTTCAGGCAGCATTTCCAAAGGACAAATCAAAACAGACAAACCAAAAAGGATAAAGTTTATCCACCTTGGTCATTCGGAGTTGGAAGCTCACGCTGCTGCGCAAGAGCAGTAAGCCACAAGATCAACACGGCAGCTGCTGCCGAAAGCCCGGTGGAGGCTGACAGGTACCTTCCACCATTCTCCCACCTTGTGTTAAGCAATTCTGACATTTCTTCCATGTACTCCACAGAGAGCTGCCCCTCCACCCCTCCAAATTAAATGGACAGCTGTCACCAGTGCGCTGCAGTCTGCGAGGGCGAGGGTGTTATTCACCCTCTTGTCTTGCCTCGGTGAATTAGGAGAGATAAACAGATGCACACGGCAACATTTCTGACTGCATCCTGCTACTGCAATTACTGTTCACAGTGACACTAATGCACCTTGAGGAGACTCGTACTGATATTACACGGGAAGGCTGCAAGAGAGGGACACTAACAGTACAGCACGGCAGACCAAGTTCTCCTGGGCCATCACTGCAAAGGCCAGATTCATTTTCAGCTTAAAGGCAAAACACTATCATTCTGAGCTAAGCTGCCTGCAATTAAATGTTCACTGTCAGAAGATAATCTGAAAAAAACTAAGCAATCTAAGACTACTTTGATTCCTGCTCCTCCCATCTCTCCCCTCACCCAAAGGTCCTTGAACTCCTCAGGACAACGCAGTAACACAAGCTCTCATTTCAGTGATGGCCTGGAGCCATCATGAAGGATGAAAAAATTTGTAAGGGGACTGCAAGAAGAACAGTGTAAAAAAGCAGATCTGCTGCAGGGGAACTGCTTTTGGAAAGAAAAGCAGCCAGAGCGATTCTTAGTACTTTTGAAGACTTTCAGAAGGAAGTTAGAAGAAAATGGGAGTGGTTCATAACGGTGTAAATACAAACTGGGGGATGTCTGTCAGTCTCTGACCCTTCAAGATTCACATATCATCAATTTTTACCTCTCCTATTCCAGCATTTATTTTTAATCTGTGTTCTTAATTTATATAATTTCTTCGTAATTAATCTGTACCAGCATCTACTAGATACATTAAATGATACAGCTGAGGTCATTGTTGCAAATACATGTTGCCACTTTGACTTGACCATTAAACAACAATTAAGTCATTTAATATTGATGGCTTACAGCTACTTAAAGTCACGTTATAACTTTAAATGAAGAGTGAAAATTGCCCAGCTTGAGACAGGAGTAGATGCTTCATTAACACTGATAAAATGCTATGCTGTTTAAATAACAAAGAAAAGTCAAGAACAAGCATTTCAATATCTTGAAAGGAAATGGTTCTATTAAAATAACCACCAGTTAGAAATTTTTATACAGATATTAAATTTCAAATCAAGTATTTTACAGTTATTACCAGTATTTTTATAAACAGACATGTTTCAGCAAATGAGCTCAAAGAGACTTTGAGAACACTTCCTTCACGGGCAGGTTATTTTATAATTTCTTCCTATGGTTTCTTTCTGCTTTTTCTGATGCAGACCCTATTGAAGACAGGATACAGGACTTCCCGGACCGACAAGCTGATCAGGTGCAAAAGTATACGCAGCATGTTCCTACCTTCTTTTATTAGTACCAAATAATACTCCCAAATAAATTAGCTTCATTTTTATAAATACCCAGACCTCTAAAGAGAGAAAGCTGAGCCAATATGTTAGAAACTTGGAATCCATCTACCTTAGCAAAATGTAATGCAGTAATCTGTAGGTGTGTGAACTGGGCACGTGAAGAATAAAACTAATATTACTCCTTTTTCTTACAGAAGTGTCTCTTGTGTCTCAAAGACATAGGCAGATGAGGAACGTTACATTGTGCTGGGGTGCACCTTCCTCATTCACTTAAAAAATTAAGCTTTCAGTAATTTGTAAGAATTTAAATTAGACATAAGGATGCCATAGCAAATTATGATATACTGGCATGCATAGAGAGCTACACCACATAGCACAATTATTCCCTACAGGCTCAGTGTAGGAGTTGGAAAATGGAAATGAAAACCCTGGACAGCATTGAGGTGCTTGGTCTCACTTTTTTACATTACCTGGATTGCAGAATTTATGTTTTCTACCAGACTTTTAAAATGTATACATACTATGCTCTTTATTAGCTTCTTCATATGACTAAGAAGCAAAATTTGGATCCTAATATGGGATAAAATAATAGGATCTAATGAGTATGCAGTACAAAATCAACTTTAATAGTATCTTCTCAGATAAAATATTACTGAACAGTCTGAAAAGACTTCAAACATCCCATTATACCGTTTTGACCTGAGGCAAAGCAAAGCACTGAAAATACATCAAGGGTTCTGTTCAAGACTAAACGGGTTATGCTTGTATTATGCAATTTGTATGAGAGTTAGGCAATGATGAATACACACAGTTCAAAAATAAAATAAAAAAAATTGGTAGGTTATTCGGTAGTGCTTTTACCAAAGCTTCACCCCATGTGGCAGTGCACAAAGAATCACCTTGTCTAATCTGTTTTGTACACATATATGAACAACTAAGTTTACTAATAAAAATACATGTTATGCATCCTTTGCTAAAATCAGCATCGCTTCCATATTAATGAGCATTTGGTCTCAACCCCAAAAGAAATAAAACTAGCCAGAAAGAGGACTGCCCTTTTGGACATTCCTTGCTCCTGAAAAGGACAACAGCAAGATTTTATAAGCAAATGAAACAAAATCTGCCTAAACATGTTCCTTCTTTATGCATTAAGAAATATGCATATCTTAAACTCTTGACATTTGGGTGATACTCTTAGTGATAAAATTCCATTAAATTAAATGCAAACTGACTTCAGCAATCACTCATCTTTTGAACTGTTGACCTGAACCCATCAGGACACTTTTCTCCCTTATATATAGTTACCCTTTCACTTCTTGCTATTCAAGAGTACTCTAGCTGAAACAGGGAAATACCAAAAGAAAAGCAGTTGCAACAGGACTTCAGGTCTGACCAACAACAGTATCAGAAATATGCAATCTCTGGATCAAAGGCGGCTGCAGAGTAAGAGTGCGGTTCAATTAACAGGCAGCTGTTTGAAGATTTACCTGTATTAAAGGGATGTCTGCATGCGCAATTACTATTTGTCCTGAATCTTTCACACCACTCACTTTAAGAGTAAAAATATAAAGGAGACAAACAGGGCAATACGTTATAATTAAATGGCAAGTCGATACTTGTCTGCTTTTGCAGTTGGTTAGCCTGAACTTAGACATCTTATATCCCTTTTTGACATACAGAGCTGTATTCTGGTTAATTTTTAAACAAATTGCTGCCACAGTGCTAATACTATAAGAAAAAAAAAATCTTCACACTGTCTCATTCCATTTTATCACATCACTTTTCTAAAATATTTTTGGTATGCCTTCACTGCAGAGCACCGTAGAGATACCTGAGTTAGCTTGAAATAGACTACGCTGGCATAATTAGAGCGCTTTCAGCAGCTAAACTAGAGTTTAGCAGGAGATAATTTAAGCTATTTTTCACCATGGTAAATAAGCCTGCACTGAATGCAAGATTTGACTGCCCTAGTGCTCAAGCTGGCTCGTTTAAAGCTGGTTTATGTACGTGTGCTGTACAGACACAACCTCCTTTATGAATGCAGCAAATTCACTGATATTTCTTTTAGAGAAATAGCTTAATTTTTATTATACCCTCTATTATTTATTAACAGAACCGTTAAAAGCAAAGAGTTAGCTATTAAATGGTCTGCCAAGCAGCCTATACTAGAGCATGGATTAACCTATTTTATCTTATAGATGTGCTTCTGTTAATAAAATCCAAAGCTGCAAAAAAAAATTTAAAAAAACCCTCTGCCAGAGAAGCACATCTGAAGTCATAATAAGCATGCAATTTGGGTATTCAAAATGACATCATGACAGCTGCCATGCCTTCCAAGTATTGAAAGAGCTTTAAAAATAAAGCAGGGGTAACGCAGTTTGGCAAATTGCTTAAATTGGCTTCCTACCATCGAAAAGTCAACAATAACAGCAGCTTGGTTTGATTTTTTCATCTGCCTTTTGTAAAGTAGATTAGACAGTGAAAAGATTCAGGACTTTTTTCTTTTTTCTTTTTTTTTTCATAATTTCTGTCCCAGTCTTTCAGGAAGAGTTTGCAACAATGCACCCAAATTACTTTGTAAACGCAGCGCACATTCCAGACATGGTAACCGAAATATTATTTCTTCCACTGCATGTTTGAAATGTGTTATTTTGCCATACGTATTTCCCTTAAAAAAAAATTTAACCTTGATAAAAGCACTGCCTCGCACTTTCACTTTATTTTGTTTTTTACTACTTCTGGAAATCCTTGCCATAAAAATGCATCTGATTGGGGAAAAAACCCCAAACAACTGGCAGAGGTGTCTTACCTAAAGACTGGTAAAGCTCAGTCATCTTGGGATGATCCCAGCAGGTCGTTTGCGTCTCATGGCTACAATACAAAAACATGGAAGTTAGTAAAGTAAAAATGGCTCTCTCCATCACGCAGCAAGTGATGCAGGTGGTACATCAGAGCACGGTGCCAGGCCACCACCCGCTGCAGTGGCAGGGGGTCTCCACAGCCGTCGGCACGTCTTCTTTCAACTTGAGATCTTAACTGGGAGCGCTTTATTTAGTCATGGGCTCAAGGCACACAATTGAAAGTAGCGCTAACATTAAGAAGACAGCAAGTATTCAGACACGCCATAATATTGTGGGGAATTTGTAAGCACACCGACTGATTCTTAAAAACTTCTTATTTTGTACAGATCGCTCTCCAGTTCCTCCAAACTGGAGGCAAGGCATTTAAAAGGGCATAGTTCTTGAAGCTTGATGGAAATTCTGACCAGATACTGAGATCTGTGGTGTTTTTGACCTGTTTTTGACCCCTATGTGCTCTTTCCACCCTTCCCCCCGTGGTAGGTAAGAGCTACCCAAACGCAGCAGCTGCAATCCTTCCGCTCGGCCCAAACACCTGTACTAAACCCCCCCCAATGCAACAGCCCACTGACCCACCACCGGCTCGCACGGCTTTTCAGCCCAACGCGTCGCACATTGCCGCTCTCTTCCAGCAAAGGCCATCGCTGCTCCTCTGGTTCCCCAGGGGCTCCCAGGCCCCTTCCCTTGGCCCGGAGGTCCCTGCGCAGCGTCAGGCAGCAGAGCTGTTCGGAAGCCAGGGAAAAGCTAAAGCGGGGTTATGAAACGCTGCAGTATGACTAGAATGTAAATTGGACAGTCTCTCGCTGCATTGAGGCTAGCAGCCTTCGGCTTCGCAACACAACACGTTGCCAAAAGACGTGCAGTGTAAGAAAGCCAACAAAATAAAGTGTTAGCGGGTGTAGTAGCAATGCACGTCTCCTAAGGTTACGCATTTTATGATTTTTTTTTTTAAATGACAGCATGATCAGCTAACGTGATCATGTTTCCATTAACATAGAAAACTTGGAAGAAAATTCTCCTTATCTATCCTGTAGCCAATAAAGTCCTGTTCATACAGAATTCAGCTACATTAAGAAGACCATGAGTATTCATAAAAAAACAAAAAAACAACAAAAAAAAACCCCAAAACCCAAAAAAAACAACTCTGGAAAGCATACGTAGCGCACAGTTCCTAGCAATCACATTTGCAATTCTTGTACTTAAAAAGCAGACACCCCTCTTCCAACACACACACCCCATTCGAGAGAAAATACGCAGGAGAGCAGGACCTGATCCACAGCGCTGTGGACCTCCTGGAGTACACACCTTCCTTCCACCTCCAAGAGACTATACCACAACCCAGCTGAATGCTCCTGTACACCCAACTGTGCGCTGGAAGACTGATACGGCAAGGCTGTTTCAGAGAACAAACGGTCCTCGAGTTCCCTCTTTGAGGCAGTGACCGTTCCCGAGTACACCTGTACCCTTTGTTGGCTAAGAAGGGGTAAAATTTTCAATCTATCACTTCAACACCACCCTGACTCAAGGGAAAAAAGAAAATCATGACACGTTTTCTTAGTATGATTTAATTTTGGTCGTTAAAGACGGGTTATTTATTTGATCCACATGAATACTTTACTGGCCCAGTAACCTCTATATATTCAGTAGCTTACTATATATAGTATTTCCAGATTTCACTCTCTAACTGCAAGAAAGAAGGACTGAGATCACAAGCACTAAGCATAAGGAAAAAAAGCTGCCATAGCACTGCCCTAGTTGAGCACGGACTTTTAAACAAGCCCCGTCTCATCAACCTCAGCATCTCCTCCCCTTCCTAATTCCTGTGGTGGCTGAAGGCAGTGAAAGAGGGAGGAGGACACGAGAAGAGCTGAAGCAGTCTTGTTCTTAACTCTGGTAAAAAAAATGAGTCGCGCAAGGGGAGGTGGTTGCAATCACAATCAGAAATCTGAGCCTGGTCTGGTTTTTGAAATGCAGAAACTGGGTAGCTTCAAGTGAAAGCCTGCGGATCCCAGCCACCTGCACCCGAGCTCCTCAATTTCCTACCACGCTCGGAATGGGCAGGTTCTGCAGACAGAACGTAGCACCAGCAGCTTTTACCTTACCTGGGTACAAACTGCATTTTGGAAGAAAACCAGAAACAGTTTCATGTACACATTGAGTCCCTAAAAAGCTGGCTACCAAAAGCCTCTGCTTATGTAACAGCAGCCCAAAGGAAAAGAGGAAGGGAGCGTACTCGCCGCACGACAGCCCTGTAGCCAGAGGTGTCACAATTTAGGTGAACAGACTGCAGAGCCAAATAAACATTCAAACCCAGAGACTTAGGACCACAGTTTGTTCGCACCCAATGGAAGTCCCAGTCCCAGATCAATAGTTCCCAGGCATGAGCCTGGCTGCCTGGGCTTACTTCCCCACCAGGAGGTAGCCCCAGAAGTGGGGATACTCAAATAGCAACGGTACCATGGTTTGTATGCCCAAATCATGTAGTAAAAATGAGAAAAAGAACTTATGCACACAGTTAAAAGAAATGTCTGAAAATGATCTGCCTAATTTTCCCCTGTGAAATTAGCTTCGCAGCTCCAGGTTGTTCTATGGATAAACCAGACCACTTCAGACTCCATAGCTGTTAACCCGGTAGCCTTCAAAGGCACTGATTCCCTATTAAAATATTTAAAAGCCATTAAGATATCTGGCAAAGGTGTATCTATATAGGATTATGGAATCTCATGCCTGTGTTGGATAGAAGAACAAAACCATCACCTTAGATGTGGAAAACTATTACGGTTGATCACTAATCAGCATTATGTTTATAAGTAATTTATTGATTTTTTATGGTAAGGCACAACCATGTACCAGTGAATTTAGCGTATGTGGTTTAAGCTTATGGCATTTACTAATCTTCCTGTAAGCACATAACTGATTTTCCTAAGATCTTGTAAATAGAATTTTCATTGCCAAAGAAACATTGGACTCCAACTGTTTTCAGATATTTTTAATACCAGTAACCCCAAACCACTACTCTGTGTGCTTTTCTTTCACAGTATAAGATTAATTCCCTTGGAGATGTACATTTTGTAGGGAATGCTTTTATTCGCTTCATCTGCAAGTGACTAAGACCCTATCCCCTCCTTTGCTTTATTTATAAACTCAGGTGCAACTTAGAGGAAATACCCCTTCCTCTAGGCTATAAAAGTCAAGTCAGTAGAGAACCCAGCTCTTGCCCCTGATGCCTTCCCAGCAGTGTCTACCCATGGGGCAGAGTGGCCCTTGGCCACTCAGCAGAGCTCACTCAACCTCACACCCTGTACCAGTGATGGCATCTGGGGGTACACCTCTGCACTCTTGCAAGAAAAAAACCGAGGGGTTTAAAGGGAACTGAACCTTGGTCGCTGGGATTTCTGTGGAGGTTGAGTGCCCGTAGCGAGCCCGGGCAGATTTTGCTGGTACTTTACATGCAGAACACAAGAAGGCTGCAGAGATTTTGCTCCAGCTAAAAGGCGTTTGCCTCTCAACTGAACGTTTTCGGCTCGGAAAGTTATCAACGATTCTGCACACAAGGGCAGCTCCAGGAAAGGTTAGATTCCATCGAGGCTATTCTTCATAAGCCTCTTTGCCATTTTCAAAGGCCATTTAATTGTGAGCTTTGGGGTTGGACCGGTGGGGGAGGATTTGTGTGTATGCCCTTATTGTGAACACCGTCTGAAGTGAAATGCCAGCTCAGCAGTTTCAGGCAGCCTCAACCACACTTGGGAATGCTGTAGCATCCTTAATAGATCTGCAGCAAAGCGTTTGCCAGAGTTTCAAACTCCGGTGAACAAGGCCCTTTACAGCTTGCAAGTCAGGAAGACATGAAAAGTATAGTGCAAGTCCTCTTGACGAGCAGCAGCTAAAGCAGGGTGAGAGTACGTGCAGAAATAAGGGCTCGAGATGCTTTCCCAACGAACCACCAACACAAAAAGGCATCAACGAGCACAGCCAGTAGTTTTGCAATACTGCACATGCTCAGAGGATACATTTTTCAATTTGTCTCTACACTTAGGCCAACTAAATTGATCACTAGCTTTTAAATCATGGACGTTTTGCAACCAATAATAATAAAAGTGGGCTCACGTGGCGTATTTTTCTCTTTCTCACCTGATGTCAGCTGCAAAGGTGGAAAGGAAATTAAAACCAGGCCTGAAGAGAAGAGCAGCGATGGATAATGGTGACACCTAGGCGTTGGTGTGACTGGCAGGCTAAATACGCTGATAATTCAGTGGGATGAAAGCATAGTCTTCACTTAATACATCCTTTGGGAACCGCAGGACCACTTCATTAAAGGATGATTATATTATATTAGCAAGGATAATTTTTATGTGGGGAATTCTGTCACACTATGCCTGTGTGAACTCCTCTGTTCCTGCCAACAGCAGAGATTTGTCTCTCATCGCTGTCAGCAGAGCCAATAACACACAGGATTGAAAACCTGAAATCAAGAGATGATATCCTAACTGACACACTAGCTGGATTATGGTTCTCTTGTTATAACTTGACCAGTTTGGACAAAATACAGTTATTTTACCCTCCTTCCTTTTATATTACTTCTGAGCAACATCAGCAGTGGGAGAGGCAGAGAGCAATGCTCCCCCTCACCCAAATTCCTGCACAAATTCTCCCCCCCAAACATTCCTGCATAAGCCACACGGAAACATTCGCAAACCTTTTAACTGTTTTTGATTGCACTCCTTCTCCTCCCCTCCTTCCCAAATGTATATCTAGGATTCAGTCTCATGTGTATTCACTGCTCAGCTCCAGAGTCTAGAATTTTGTGTTGCAACTGCAGAGTCCTTTTTCAACTCTCAGATCCCTCTTCACTGGTGATACCAGAGCCAGTTCTGCTGCGCTTTTCCCCCCACCCTTCATTAGAAAATGCGACATGAACTAAATGTGCGCAGAATAAGAAATTCTATCAGACCGCAATAAATAACTACATACACTTACGAAAAAGCCAAAATTAAAGTAGTATTTTACAAAGCC